GGGGGGGGGGGGGGGGGGGTAAAAGGTAGGTCAAAGAGAAAGAAAAGAGAAAGGAATAAGGGAAATTGTCACTGTAGCTCAACTATCTTTCGTATTTTGGTTTAAATTGTCCCTCATGACTATTTTTTGCATTTAAAGGGCTTGTACTTGTAAATTTATGGTTTAAAATGTCCTTTTTAACATTTGAAGGGGTCACCCGGTGACACCCGTCCTATTAGGATCTTTGGCAATGTCACATAATTTCCATATAGATTAAAGATGCAATGTCATTGCCATGTCTATGTGTGTGAGTAAATGAAACCTAATATACGTTTAAACCCCCTCAACTGTCACTTTCATCCTCTTTCTTTTGCTACCTTTTCATCCATATCCTTTTCTCAAACCGTTCTTGGCACGAATCCATTTCTTAAACTCCTCCTCGCTCAAATCGGCCAACATAATCGTTGCTATGGTTGTTTACATGAAGATAGATCTCCATTTTGCCGGAATTTTTACGAGGTACCCCTCTATTAGTTACTCAGATGGAGCACAACAAAGGTTTCATGATGTCGATTTTGCTGGAATGGACAAGAACGAATTTGTGGTGTTCCTTTAAAGATTCGCGGATGAGTTATGCGTGAATGTTTATTTTTGCATGCCCGATATTGAGTTCCCTGATGGATTGAAGATAATAGCTAATGATATGGACTACCAGGAGTTCATCGAAGTAGGGTATGCTTTGGATTGTGTAATTCTTGTATACATGGACCATCTTGGTGTTAATGTATATCAATGGATACTTGACGAGCAAGCCAAAGTATGGAGTTGTTTAGACGAATTGTCAGATGGAAATGAAGTTCATGAAGAAGTACAAGGTGGTATGGATATGGATGATGGAATTGACATGGAGGACTTTCAAGGTCATAATTTGGAAGGTGATACGAAGGATTTGCAAGGTGCTAAGGAGGATTTGCAAGGTGAGCAAGATGATGGCATTAACATGGAAGTTGACATTGAACCTGATGAGTGCATTACTATGAACAAGACAAAAGATGAAGAGTTTCTAACCAAGTTGTGTCCAAAGGATCAAGTTACCCCTCACAGTCCACTCCGTAAAGAGCTATATGATCATTTGCATGGGGATGAGGTAATATCTAATGACCAAGCTATTTACAATGAGAATGTTTATTGGAAAAAGCAGAAGCCTGTATTAGGTATGAGATATGTGAGTCCTAAAAAATTGAAACACATGATGTGTAACTATGTTGTTGCAAATGGTTATCAGTTATGTTACAAGAAAAATGATAATAGGAGACTTTTAATGAAATGTTGTTCTAGTCAGTGCAAGTTTAAAATGTGGGATTATTGGATGAGTGAGGAAAAATCTTTCCAAATTAAGAGTCTCATAAATGAGCATAATTGTGCAAGAAAATTCAAATTAGGTTCAATTGTCAACTATTCCTAGATAGGTAGCCATTACACCACACAATTCTTACAGAAACAAAAATTTAGTGTGAGGCTCCTTAGGGATGAGGTTAAAGAGAAATTTAGGATAGATGTAAGTATGGGACAATGTAGAAGATCAAAGAAGTATGCAATGGAATTAATTGAGGGAACACTAGTGGAGTACTATGCAAAGCTATGGTCATATGGTGAGGAGATAAGAAGATCAAATCCTAGATCAACAGTTACAATGGATGTCAATTCTATGCCAGATGATAAGAATTATTTTAGCAGGTTGTACATTTGTTTCGATGGACTAAAGCAAGGGTGGAGAGGGAGCTGCAGAAGAGTAATAAATTTGGATGGTTGTTTCTTAAAGGGTTTATGTTCTGGAGAGATAATATGTGTTGTAGGAAGGGATGCTAATTGCATGGGCAGTTGTATGTGTAGAAAACAAAGCAAAATGGAAATGGTTCTTGGAAAATCTAAAAGATGACCTTTAACTAGATAATGGTTTTGGTATAACATTTATGTCGGATCAGCAAGGTGTATCCTAAACTTTCAACTTTTATATATATTACATTTAGGTTACATTATGTCTAACATATCACTATAGTTTAATAGGGGTTGTTAGAGGCTGTCAAAGAAGTACCTCCTACTGTTGAACATAGGCAGTGTGCAAGGCATATTGTTGCCAACTTTAGAAAAAGATTCAGTTGTGTATACTATGAGAACATGTTTTGGAAGGCAAGCAAAGCATCCACTAAACCTTTATTCAATGCTGACATGAAGGAGATTGAAGTGCTTAACGCTGCAACCTTTGCATACCTTATGGAAACAAACCCCAAATCTTGGAGTAGAGCATTCTTTCAAGAAGGAAGGGTGTGTGATTGTGACAACCCGAAACTTTTATCTTGTACAATTGATCGTTATATCAATATTAAACTCGATTTTATCACTTTTAACGTCGTTTAAGAGTTAGTTTAAGTGTTCTAAGCTTGAGTACAGCCGGGAATGAGATTAGAAATGAGTCAACAAGT